CTCATTGTGTTGTGCCACCGTTAAATTGACATTTTGGGCTTTAATTAAATCGCTCGTGCCGCCGGTGGTTTTCTACAGCTGGCCTGTGGCCATCCACTGTTTAAAATTACTTTTTTTGTTCCTGATTATTTAATACCAGCTGGAAGAATTTAATTTCAGATTGTTATTAACTTATTAAGCGAATCATGAAATTAGGTTGGTCAACAGTATTTTTCTTTTGTGCTTTTTTTTCTTGCGGGGATTAGCGAGAAAATAGAACAATAAAATCGTTATGACCTATTAAATTCGAAAACAAGTCTGCGACATAAAATCAAAAACAAAAAAGAGACTTAATGGCAATATGCGACTTACGAAATGATGGCGCTTTTAACAGCCAGGGCGAGATGCATGGGAGGAGGGCGAAATCGATGGCAATAACGTTTTATGACTTTATTTCCCCAAACGCGTGTGCGTTGGGCGAGCATCGGCGATAACTTGTTTTTTTTTGTCGCGCGCGTAATCATCAAAGACGGGACCCGACCTTATAATATCTCGAAGGACCTATTAGAAAAACTGACTTTTTAAGGACTTTATAGGACCACTTTGGTCCTTTCTTTTCTTAGAACACACACTCGATCGTTTCTAAGAGGGTCAATATTCATAAGCTCTCACGCTACATAGTAATAAAGACCTTTTACATGCACATAAACACACATACACTCATGCGCACCCTATTCTCTCATAATTGTCGCAATAATATAATCGCCGGCAATGACTGTCGGCGGTCTTGCAATGGCAATGGCGCTTTAATATTGCGCCGTGCACGAATCTATGGCGGCGTTTTCGAGTGGCCAGCGAGCACGCTCCTCATTGAATTATCCGTGCGGTATAGACGCAGTGAATCAGACTTGAATCATACGGAGGGTTCAATGAATGTCGCGCTAGTTCAATATGCTCTCTAATAAAAGCGCTTAATGAAACGTTAAGAGCATTTTTGAGCTCCCAAGATGCGGGTACGTTTACAGACACGTATCGCGGGTGTAAATCTTAATTACCTTAACAGCTTTTTATTAAAAATAATAGTGTCGAATTCATCCAACCTTCGATGGGCAGATAAAACTGGCATAAAGCTGAAAAAAGCGTGGTAACATTAAATATTAAAAAAACGAAGTGTAATTGTACTCACGCAGCTGAGTGTACCGAGAACTTAAGTCATTTAAAATGACTCACTGGTTACTTAAAGAAGGTACACGAAATGTCATCGTCATGCAATTCGTTGCGTCTGCTTGGATGATGATTTATTAAACTCAATTGACCGACCTAGAATGATTCACTGGAGATTCAAGCAAAAACGAAAGTGAAACGTATTGTACTTTAACATTTTGATGCGCGACTCAAAGGCAAATATTCCTTTCTTGAGTGTGGAGAATCTCAGACGTGACAACAAAGCAAGGATGTGTAATGGTTGTCCTTGAAACGATATTCTTAACCCTCACCCTTTTGCGTTGTCGTCTCTTCAGCATGTAAATGAGACCAACTTCTTGGTGATAATTGCTTTGCCAAAGCATGAAACCTTTCGTGCGTTGCGACGTTCATACGCTAATTAGAATCAAATCGTAATGATAATTATAATTGCAAAATTCAGAATTGTAACAGTGTAATATCCCGCGTAGTTGCCAAATATTGTCGTGCGCACACTGTTTCAAGACGCGTCGGTTTAAGGAAGTCCTATTGTGCGTAGGTGATATTATATTAACTTAACTCGTTTTGTAGTCATCGTCGGCGCTAGATTAGAATTTTATCGCTTGCTGGCAGAGATAGCTATGTCTCCCGGCAATTATCGTTCCAGGAGTGGCTCTATTTGCGAATTTATTTGCACATTCCAACGGGGTACACACCGTTAAGGATGTTACTATTGTGCACTACTAAAGGGGTGGTAATTGAGTAAATATTATATGAGATGAGGAAGGATGGAAACTTAAGTTTTAATACACAAATAAACTGTTTGTTAACAATGATTTAATAATATTTTATTGTTCCAGGTACGTTTTGGAAGTTTCCTGATGAGATTTCATTGGTAACGTAAAAAATCACCTCATTGAAATTTGTGGCGCGTAGTTTTTTAGCGGTTTGTCAATTGGCAATTAGTTTTCGGTTAATTTTTGCCCGTTTCGGCTCGTGAACTCGCTGCACATTGCCGTTTTGCGCGTCGCATAATAGCGCGCTGGTTGGTGGTGTCGAGTGGCGAAAAGAGTGAGCGTTCACGATCCAATTAATTTAGATTAGACGTTGATCACGGTTGGGCCGGACCCGCCGGCAAGCGGCGCGCCGCCCCACGACCGAAACCGAAACAATTAAAAAGTCAAATGAGTTATGGCACGAAAACGAATGTGAATACCGCATATATGCAGCCGCCCCCATCCCATGATAGTCGACGGCAGTGGTGGCGGTTACCGCAAGTACGTTTCGATTCAATTCCAGCGGAAATTTAGTCATATGTTGATTTTTTTTTCAACCGGAATGAAAATCACGCATGCTTTTTAGCTAAAACTTGTAAATTTTTAAACGTGATTTGAATTCTATTAGGAATTTTGAGGTATTTTTCGTTTTACCTTTCATTTCGTGGTTTTTGACTTTGGATCCGTACATGACCACACTACATTCACCAAAATTGTATAGATGGTGGAGAGAGTAGAGGGCGAGCGACCCGAATGAGGCCCTTCGGCGATTCGTTATCGTTCCCCATCTCGGCAAAGACGAGCCGAATACGAGCGATGGACTAACGAGTTTGGGAATGTCGGCTAACCCTTACCCTACTTTTCATACATTTCATGCATCATTCTCCTCCAAACTCGTGGGCACCGAAGTTTCATTCGTTTTTTTAGGCTGTCCATTATTAAAGTCAACAACTTTTTACATACTTTTCTACACTCCCGGGAGTGTAGAAATATATTGGTATATTTCATATTTGATGATGTTTGATGAAATATTTTATTTCGTAATACTTTATATTTCGACATTTCTTTCGCTGTCATGTTTCATATGCAACTTGAAATATTTGTCAGTCGTTTCTAATCTTGGTGTAATACCTTTCTGCGTGGGATTTCATGCGATGACTGGTCAACGGTCAGCGGTTGCGCCGCCCTCGGCTTCTCATTTCCGGTGGCGTTTGGTGTGTTGACAGTTCACACGTTTCGTTTCGCCCGCGTCCGTCGACCGACCCATCCGTAGGGAAAATATCTTCCGTTACACGCGTCCGCTGCCCGCAGTTTCCCTTTTACGTCCGCTCTTCTCTTTTTCCACCCGAGTGGCGGTTTGATGACTTTCGCCAGCCTTCCCTTCCGTCGTCTGGTCTTGCGTCACCTCGGAAATCTCGGGGTAGCTGGAGATGTTGTCTCGGGGTGTAACTGGTGCAAACCAGTTTATCAAGAAAATTATCTCACATTCAACAAGCGAAAAGAAAAAACTCGCAATAAACAAGTAGCATAAAGTGGAAGCTGGTGGCGGTAGCCATCCCAACCGGGAGAGCACTTCGAATCGCAAATCGCAGTTCGCAGCATTCAGTCTGAGTGCGAATCTTACCCTTGCGCGTCGCTCCAAGGAACCGTTAGCTCCTTAAATAATCGATAAATGCGGGTCTAAGTATTAAGTAACAAGTATCTCAAGGAAGATCCTCCAAGAAAAGCCATTTCTACGCAATGTCAGTTATTGGAAAGGTACGCACACAGTTGACAAATCATTATTAATAATTTTTAGCGGCTTTCTCATCGAAAACATAAGTTTCAAAATTATTTTATCCTGTTTTTAAATGTATTTTTATTCTAACCTCAACAGCCCGTCCTCTACTCGTACTGGAGGAGTTCTTGTTCATGGAGAGTACGAATCGGTAAGATTATGAAGCAAATCTAAAAAGAAATTTGATTTATAATAAACCATCTATTTCCAGCTCTGAATCTAAAGGAGATTCCATATGACATAAAACCTGTCTCACTAATTAAGTCTGGTGGTGAACAACACTGCAATGAGTATCGAGATGTCAATCCCATGGAGCAGGTTCCAGCTTTGCACATTGATGGCAACACTCTGGTGGAGTCACTAAATATTCTCCATTATCTTGAAGAGACCAGACCACAGAGAAGTCTAATGCCTCATGATGTCATTAAAAGAGCCAAAGTATGTTGCATGTAAGATTGATGTCACCAATTTAAAATAATGATCTTAATTCATCAGGTTAGGGAGTTGTGTGAAGTCATAGCATCTGGAATTCAACCTCTACAGAACTTAATAGTATTGATACATGTTGGTGAGGAGAAGAAAAATGAATGGGCTCAACATTGGATCACAAGAGGTTTTAGGGCAGTGGAAAAACTATTGTCATCCAGTGCAGGAAAATATTGTGTTGGTGATGAAATTACCTTAGCTGACTGCTGCCTCATTCCACAAGTATTCAATGCACGTCGATTTCATGTCGATCTGCGACCATTTCCTATAATTCTGCGAATTGACAGGGAACTCGAGAATCATCCGGCATTCAGAGCGGCACATCCCAGTAATCAACCGGACTGTCCGCCGGAGGCGCCAAAATAATTTAAAATTATACGAGTCGCCATTTTGTTTACATTCCAAGAGAATAAATGAATACATAGTTTGTAAGTCAAATAATGAATACCTAAAGTTATAGTACAAACGCGTTGCTTTTCTTTCTGCTTTAATGAATTTATTTTGCGCAATATTGATTACCAATGGATTTGGTTTCGTTTGAGATTTATTTTTTTACGCTTATGGCTTTGTTATTTTTCTTTGTTGCTTGTTTTAAATTTTGACAATAATTGCAATGCTTTTATTTTATTGTAATTTGTTTATAGAAAATTTATCAAATTCTAGCCGCTTAAAGTTGTAAATTTTTGATAAAAATGTGTAGATGATATGCTTTGTTCTTTTACATAAAATAAACGTTTTTATTTATATCTGCACCTGTTTTATCTGAACACGACACACGTTAAATTGAGTTTAATCTCATCTTGAAGAATTTCATTTTATTCATTCAACCATTGTAAGTAAGTATAATACAAAAAAATAAATCAGTAAATCAACAATAATAACATTCAGAATATTCTTACACGTAATTTAGAATCGCACTTGTACTTATAGCAAAATGTAACAATCAATTATGATCATAATTAACACAATATCGAGTAGAGTTAATAAACATGGACGGAAGAAAAGTATTAATTAATTCGCAATTACAACTACATAATAAATATCTCATCGTGATCATCGAGGTCGTGTGTAATCAACAAAAGTCACTAGTTTTACATTATCACAATATTTGCAGTACTTGTAACGATTGTTTGTAGGATGTATGGAGCAGATGTAAAGCAAATGAGAAATGCAGAGTTCGAGCGTTGCTTTTTTTTTGCTTGCGAAATGAACAAATACAAAGAGATATGGCACTATGGATTTTTATTGAATATAATGTGTTTGACAATGCAGTGAATTTTTTAGTGATCTACAAACAATGGTACAATATTTGTCATAACAATATATATTTATATATTTGATGTATATGCAGGTCGGTAATCACCTGCCACCATTTAGCGTACGCTACGGTCGAAACGCAAGAGTCGTAAACAAAATTACGCTAAGATTACGATCGAAATCACTATCCAAAACTCGTCTGAATCTTCTTCGGCAGAGCATTCCTCAAACGTCAATCGAAAGCAGTAATCAGTAAATGTGTTTTGCAGCAAAAAGAAATGAGGTCTGCGAATGACAATGCCAATCCGAAGTTGTTTCGTTTGTGCAACCCTCTCCGCCCAAGAATCCAAGAGTGCTCATCAAGTTTTTCAGACACAATCACAATAAAGTATGGTAGGTATCTTATATCATTTATATAATATCTAATATAATTAACATAGTTAATGTTTTTTTTCTTCTATTCGTAATAACAAAGTGCTCTTAGCCACGTTTTATACTCATTTATCATGAATAGATTTCATCTTAAATATTTGAACACGCAACACAATGGTAACTTATCGCAGTTTTTCCTCCTATCGGACCTTTTATTATACACAAAATTCGCATATATAGTTTCCTCTTATTTTATAAACATATTAGTAATTCCTTGAATATTTATAAATCCCTGCTCTATAAGGTTGTTTCACCATTCCCACTTTTTAAAATCTAAATATAATCTATCGTTACATATTAATAATATATTCTCGTAGTTAATGTTACTTAGTTTCAGCTATCATCAACTGTTCGTCTATTTAGAAACGTGAATGTTTTTTTCTTTCATTGTTATTCATAGTTTTTGCGTCCAACGTAAGTCAATTTCTCTATCTCGTCGTTATTAATTTAGTGTTTGAATCCGTCGCAATGAATATACATCTATTTTGTAGGACCGTTCGAAGTGCTCCTCCTTTCCTCTCGCATGAAATGGCTCAAAATACACAAAAATTTGAACGAAACACTCTCAAACAATCGACTCGCATCCATTCTACTCAACCAATTAATATAAAACACGCTAAATATACAGTACGCGAACAATAACATGTGCTATCAAAAATAAAATCGTAACGTAAAGTCGCAAAAATATACAAATCATAACTAGAATGACTCATTTCCATTTCGTAATTAGTTAATCGCTTATGGTCTATCTAAAGTAGAATAATAATATAGTTAAATAGTAATAATCGAATGTTAGTATTAAAACAGTTTTTTTTTTCTTCATCATATCGTTCTATATGTAATTTTATGTTTAAACGTGTAATATTCGCCAATGTGATTTAAATTTATCGATTTATTTAATCAACAATTTCCATGTCAATGTAATAGGTATTTTATTAAAGTGGTGCGTTAATAACATTTTGTCTATAATCCTTATCAATATATATATCTGAAAAGTTTCACTTGTAACTAGAATATAATCATCATTCTCATCGTCTGCCGTCTAAATTATTTTGACTATTTAAAGATTTCTGTTGAATGAAAAAGTCACTTGCGTTTGGAAATTATTACACCCTGGTGTGGTGACTGGTGAGTGTTTCCCAAGCAAAATTCACAACTCTTTGTTTTTATTCTCATAGTTTCAAGCAAAATAAAACCAATCTTCATAGGTTTTGTCCTGCAGAGTTAAGTATGCAATGAAACACCCACACAAACACATAATAAATTGTTATCACAGCAATATTAAATATTTTAATGTTCTGTATGTTCTAATTTTAATGCTATGAATGACTGTTACAAAAAGTGATCAAGACAGACTTTCGAAAAAGAGTGAATTTTAGAATTTAGTCTATAAAGATTTGTTTAAGCTTGTTATTAATCGGAAAGCAGACACGTCTCAGTAAACATCCCTCGAAACGTAAATTTCGTTCATCGTTCTCAATATTACAATTGATCTATGAATGCCTAGTTGAAAAATGTATTCGCACATTTAGACAGGTCGAATAATATATTCACTTGTTTGCAATATTTCGTTTCTAATTGTCATCTCAGTCAAATGAATCGATCAATGTTTGGAGGCGCTTCATATTATATATAAATCATCATGTTATGAATTCTTTTTCAGTGTGTGTTGTGACTATGATTGACGCATCGACAAGGCTGATTATAAAATGATTTACATTAGATTAAAGTTATTTATTTATACCTAGAGATGAATCGGAATGCGACAGAAGAAGAAGATAACTTCTATAATCAGCGTTGCGCCAATGAAATCGTAAGTGTCGCCGCGAAGGAGACGACATAAATAATTGCACGTTCCATGAAACAGCGTCCGTGACCAGCACAGAGCTCAATAATGCGTACCATCGCAAGCAATCATATTGTATATACTTCTGCTGCTTTAGTATTCATCTGACATAATTCAGTTTCACAAAAAGTTACCGGCCATTTCCAAACATTAACAATATAACAACATGCGATAACAACAATATATATATATATTTAGTTTTACATATATAATATATATTTATATATATATTTTATATATTCATATATAATTTTTTTTATAGATTATATTGATCTATGATTTTCTCTGAAGGAATAATATTCAGGTAAATTAATATATTGTACGACAGTTCGTCGGTGTCACTTCCGGTTTGCAATTCTCAACATCATGACTCGCTAACTTTTGTACTTAAATTGTACTACCAGCTTCAGCTAGTTGTTGAATATTTTCATGTTTTGCGGGGCCGACAATTGTTCATAAGTTACAGGTACAATCAGTAGTTGTAAAGCAATAAATAAAGTTTCCGACACTAAAATAACGTGTTTTATATATAAATATATATAGAAATTAATGGTAGTCGATATAACACGATCGTAAACTTCTCTTAATATACCCGCCAATTAAAAACAAAATAAACAACGCTAACAAAACCAATTGGAAAAAAATAATTCATTATATTTTCTTTTTTCTCTCATAAAACCTACACAACAATATTTACAAAACAAACAAAAAGAAAATAGTATAATGCTTGGCGTGCAGAGTTGGGAAAATGTGATGAATTTTGAGATAGTAATCTAAGTGTAAAAAACGACGTTCAAACCGCGAAACACAAACATTGCCGTATGTTTCATGAGTATGTGTAAAAATGATCCTAAACTTTGAGAAGTAAAAATCGCGAGCGCGATTCTAATGTGTGACGATACGGGGGACTCTGCACAAACGTAAAATTTATTAATAATAATCGGTGGATAGGTCGATATTGTTGTAACTTTAGCGATACGGTAAGCGTTCTGTTCTTCGTCGGCAATATGAGTTTCTTAACGTTTTCTGACTGTGGAACTCGTATAAATATAAATCGAATCAACAACGTGCTGTTTCAACAGTATTTGTGAGGACGAAATGGGCATTTGCTTCGCTTATTATCATGAAATGATTCTCAACATTTGTCTGGATGTTTCGCATATGGCATTTGCACTAATGGCGTTTTAAACATGTCTCATGTATTGTGTACTAACGATTAAAGCACGTGTTTGTATATAATTATAATCAAATGTAATCGTAATAGCGTAATATTTCTTCAATTACCATCTTTCCTCGTTTAAATCGTAAGTATTGTCAGCAAACAGAATCAAATCTTCTATGTTTGATCCCACAGAATGCCATTTATAGTGTCTGGATAAAATTTGTTTTCATTATCTTTGCATCAGAAGTGTTTGCTTTGCGCGCGCCTTTCAATGATTTGGTTTTTCATTTAGTTGGTTTTCGATAATCGAGGTATATGCATGTATGTGTTGTTGTGGTAACGTCACAATTTGTCATTCTACGATCTCGTCTCATTGCTTAACTTAACTTATCTTTAGCGATGGTGAGGTGTTTAGCGCATGTAGTTGGATTGTTGTACCTGTGAGATGAGAATTGTAAAATGTTGACGAACTAGTTGTTTGCCATTGTATCACTGCAGTGGACCGAGCGCGTTCGTGCGCGCTCTCTTAATCTCCTCCTCGGAGATACGCTGTTCAATGAGGTACTGTGCTGTGTTAATGGCGTTCGGTGAACCCGTGATCGTGACGATTCGATTTCTGGTCCCGGGCGCAAAGATGCCCTTTTTCGAAATTTGGATGTTCGCACCACTGATTTGTTGAATTTCTACTAATGATCTTCCACCGGGTCCTGGGCCAACAAATTATTTACCGCATTATATGGGAACCAAAGACACATATGTACAAATGAACATTGAAATCGATTTTTTATACCAGAAAAGACGATTCAACATAGACATGGACATACCTAGAATGGCTCCAACGATGACCTCGGCAATTTCCACATTTTTGGAATCCTTGCTGCCGGAGAGTTCGGCTGGGGTAGGTGACTTGCTCAGAACAGCCATCTGCTGGCCGGTGCCAAGGCCAAAACTGTTGTTGTTTATCGAAATGGGCGCTACAGCGGGAGAACTCTGTTGACGAAAGGGATCGAAGGTGTCGTAACGCTCGAGGCCAGATCGAGGGGTAGGTGACGTGGTGCCGAGGCAATCCCCGATGCTAACCTGGCCGATGGCGCCAAAAGTGCCTGCCGGCGCCTGCTCAGCGAGGCTGAGGTAATTCGAAATCGTGGGATGAGCGCTGCCAATGCCCAGCCCCATAGCTAGGATGCCGTACTTTGAAAGCACCGACAACGCTGCGCAAATCTCCACCACCTGCGACTCCGAGTATCCGGTCGATCTTAATTGAATCTAAAACGAAAGCAAACACAAAAAAAATTAACAAAATCCGCACTGCCTAAAATAACTTAAAATTACCTTAATGCTTTCTAAAATATTAGTTGTTATTGAGCTAACATTTTGTCCGGGCGCGTTCAGATTGAGACTGAGATTGAGCCCGCCATTGAGCATGATGCTCTGCGAGACCGAACTCAGGCCGCTGTTGAGGCTCGCCGTCGACGCGTTGAACGCACTGCCGGCGTTCTGTTGAGCGAAGGGTGAGCCCGTGGGGTTGTAGTTCGCCACCGGGCCGCTCACGTCCGCATAGGACACATTCAGGCAGGTACCACTCTGCGGATCGTCCACGACCTTCGCCAGTATCATCAGGCACGCTTTTTTATTCGCCTCTTTTTCACCTGCAATCATACCCAAAAACGCAAAACGCCAATTATTACAACAAACAACTACACTCAACGCACAACTACCAACAACCACACTGCGACAGCCAGTCGCATCGCTTACCTATCACAGTAATACAGCGTTCCTGCAGGCTAACGTCTTTGGCTTTTTGCGAGATTTGTACGTACGACCCACTCGCCTCTTTGATTTGCTTTATGTAACTACCAGCCTTGCCGATAATCATACCGGCCGTCGAGTTCGGAACCAATATCTTCACCTGCTTGTCCCTATCCTGCGGTAACTTGCCATCGCCCTCGGCCAGTGGCGGCTTACTAAGGTCAGGTTTCTCCCGGATTTTATCCATTATAAAGTCCATCACGGACATTATGGCCTCGACGCTACCCGTTATCAGACACACTCGTTCCGTCGTCCCTGGAAAAGTCACATTGCGCAATCAATAAAAAGAGAACGTAATATGTATCACATAAAATGAAATTTTACACATCCTGTCATCAGAACTGTAACTTTCATGACAAATATTACTCGAAGATCTAATTACCTTCGTTCTCCAAGCCAATTAAAATAATTTCTTAGCGCTAATAATAATCATCCGTGGCTAGCAATGTATTACTATAATGGCTTCAAACGCACGCAAGCCCGCGACATAATATTAACGATATAATGTCATGTCCATTCGGCCACGTGAGAAACGTCGCGAGCACGTTTCCAATTTATGAAAACGTCGATTACTACTCAAAGACATTGAAGTCGCAGCAATACCGGCATTAAATCGTCATATTTAACGCGATGGCTTTCGTAAAACTTTGAGAAAAGTCGTCCATGCGGGCACAATGGCATCGTTTCCATTTAAACTCCAACAGCAAAAAGAAAATTAATCGATATTCGTGTATTTATCGACTCTCGGTTACTTAAATTACTTTCTGCATGGATTTTTGTATAAAAATACAACACACAACATCAATAACGTGCACACTTATCATAATTAAATCTAAACCTATGAATGTAACATCCCTAGTGTGCCCTTTGTCACCTCACCACAAAGCAGTTTAAATTAAACTGTGCGCCCGCGGAAATGAAAAGGAAATTATGTAATTTCTTTAAAATGTAATTTTTGCAACTTCCCCCAACACCGCTCGCGCAGATTTGCGCGTACAATTAATTCAGCCCAGTCTGCTAATGAAACGTCTCATTAGCATTTACCTGCGCTGGAATATTTTGGAAACACGAAGCCGTTAAACCATTCGTAATTAAAATTTTACATAATTCAAACCACTCATAAAATATGACTTTTGACATGAGTAATAATATGGATCGGCACGATATTTAATTTAGGCAGGCACGAAAATTGATGGTGTACAAATCGGCTACGAGCTACTTCGGGCACGAAATCAATAATAAAGTACCGAAGTCGTAGAAGTAACGCCACGCTGGCGACTGAAAAATGAAAACTCTTTGCACACGTCTTATGTCACATAAGAAAAGACAAGTCAATCCTCACATCAATGACCTATTTTCTCGTTTCAAAACAAGGTACAAAACCGTAAAATATGATTATATCCGCAAATTTTGTTCTAATAATCAAGTTTCTCTGAAGAAAACAGCTATTTTACGAAAATTGCAAGGTATGCAGGCATCCGAAACGCGTTACAAGTGCGTCGTTAAGAAAACTGCGTCCAAAATTACAACATTGTTTCGTTGAATTGAATGATATAAACAAATCCGTGTGATTGCTGTATTCAATGACGTATGTCGCCCCAAGCCAATTTTCAAATGTGAATTGCTAATAAAAATGTATGAACAAATCGTAAAAAAAACATATTTCCAGATATCCAAGTAAGTTTTTCGTAACGACTAAATAATTAACGTGTTCACGTGCATCCTATCTTGTTTAATAACAGTTATAATTGCACACAACACACACACAAAACGAAATAAATAAAATAGCGCCATTGTTATTTGCCAGCATTTACATAAATCGAAGGCCGTCGACTCTGTATTATAAAACATTGTTTCCCTCCCCCCCATGCTGATGCAAGCGATGAATCAAAACGATTCAATATTTTCACTCCTGTTGTATAAATTTAAAAACGCGCTCACTGTTTGGATAAAACAGTACCTATCCGTGCAAACAGAAAACTGTTTGACGACCTCTTTGCGCCTGTTTGCTTTATTGCAACCGCCGAGAGTAGAAAGTAAACAGTAAACAATTCGTTCATCTTTAAAAATATAATGAACTAGAGTGTGTGGATGCTTTTAGCGTTGCTGCCCAAAGTGCACCATTTTCCAAATGGCACAAATCGTGCGATAATACTTTAAAATAACTTGAAAATGATTCGGTGCGTGCAGGTTGTGCAACCAGCAACACCACCACAACACATCAAACGAATAAATTTATTTTTAGACAAATCGACGACGACGAAACTGCGAAAGCATCCGAGCATCCGACACAACTGATACAACAACACATTCGTCGACGTGCGGAGAGACAAGTAGTATGAATTACTTACCAGGATAAAAGTCGTGTGACTTTGACATTTTAACACGCGCCCCCGTGTCCTTTTGCAGCTGGGCGATGGTCTCACCGCCCTTCCCAATAATGGCGCCGGCCGCCACGCTCGGCACCAGCACTTTGAAATGATACGTTCCATCGCCACCTAAAACAATCAAACATAGCTTTACATTGAACACTCTTTACAAATACACATTCAAAAAGAAAACAAAAAACATACAAATCAAAATCATGCTTTGAGATACGTAATTAAACTGGGTACGATTCCCTGTGTTGAAACAACAACAACAACAACAAAGAAGAAATTTACATTGATGAATGTTCAATATGTATTAAAAAATTTTCAATGCCAGAAACAGAAAGTGAAGAATACGCAGGCGGCGCGCGCGGCAAGTGTCTCCAAGAGAAACAGAATCCACCGCAATAAACTATTATACAACTTTAGTTTGCACTTTGCAGCGCTAGTGAAGCAAACCGCGCTCACACGGGAGATAGAGAGAACGAGCGCGAATGGAAGTGGGTCGAGCAGAAGCAACCTTGAGTTAATTATTGTAAGTACCCAGAGCGCGCGCTTACCAACGCGAGTCATGAAATCCTAGGCGATTCTTCGATTTCAATCGCAAACACATCTCATACCTCATTATGCATGCGACGCCGTAATAAAACAAATTATAATACATCATCAAGCGATAGTCCTCTCATCGGCAATGCATAAATCTAATCGATGCTGAGGTAAATGTTAGAAAAGTTGGAGCGCAGCGCTCAAAAATGTCAACTACGCCGACGACTACGAAACATGTGGATAGCCTAGACCTAGTAAAATGCGAAATGCAAACCGTAGGAGATCGAGAGTACAAGGTGGGCCGGTAGGTTGCTTGTTGGCAGTTGGTACCGAAACGCATAATAATCACTCTCTGCGCGCAATGAGCAAGCACCGCAACGCAACACAACACAACATCGCGCGTTCCAAATCGTGTTGTGCGCTGGTATATTTTAGTCGATTTCGATGTTGCGCTACCGCCGCGAGCAGGAATATTGCCAGCAGCGGGCCACTGCTGCATATTCGACATTCATCTGGTGCGGCCACCACATATCAGCGATGCATGTGTGTACATGTATTAACATTCGTGCTTATGCAATTAGCTCACGTTCTAATATTTTCATTTTTTCAACAGTAAAACCGAGATTAGGCAACGCGCGCATGTTAATTATACCCATTTGTACGTTTATACTAAACAGTATTTTGTCACTGTGGCAGCGCAGTGCTAAACTCTCACCGTAACACCTAATAAATTATGTCGAAAAATAAAAAATTGAATACCAGCCGAGTATTCAGGTAAAAATGAATTTTTAATCAAAAAAAGAAGCTGCTATCCTTGATGAATAAGTAAAAATCTACATTAGGTTCTCTCGTCTCGCTACACATCACAGTAATATCAAATTCAAATTCATGATGTATTTACATAGGGTTATTGAAGTTTGGCGTAACGGTAACGCACACGTAATCACAATGTGTTGGTTCGCAAGAATATCTTTGTCCCAAGCGGCCAAACTTTATATGCATGTCGACACGCTGTCATTCGATACGCAAGAAGCCACGCCCATGTATCATAATCAGCATTGAATTACAGGAAATATTTTTATTGCTCACAACTGGTATTTTTCATGTATGCAAATCTGATTCGGAATTACATTCATGAAATAAATTTTTATTCAAATTATTACATTCTTGAGATGCTCATCTTCAATGAATTTGATTTATGTATATACAAAGTGTATATATAAATTGTTTATTTATTTATTTTTAAATTATGGCTTAAATTAAATAATAATTTTTTGATAATTTCTTTAAACATTAAACAAAATCATTATTTTACCCAACACTCTGTATAAATATGATAAATCTTATCTTTATGATTGCATGATTTATGTACAACTGAAAATTTGGCACGATGTATCGAATCGTATGCGCATATTTTAACTCGACAATTTTTGGCGCATTTCGTGACTTTTAATCAAAAGCATAAAATTAAATTTCCAACATTTTATTTTCTCTCGCATTGCGTTTGCAAATAGATTACACAAAATCTCGTTTTTATTGCATAAAAATATTTTCTATTTTTTCTACTGCAACCGTTTGTTTACAACATATTTGTTTTCATTATAAATGAATTAAAAATCAATAAATATCCGGTACGTGCATGCGAAATTGAACATCATGCGATATTGATTGTTTGCTCAACCAAATCGCACGCAAGAACACGCACCACCACCGACATCGAGGGAAATGTGTTTATGTGCTCCAGATTCGAGTGTTAATATGCGAGCGCCATGCGTAAAAAGACCCAAAGCAATTGCATCACGAATTAATTCTCAACAAAACTCCAAACAAGCATTTCAACTTTAATTCCAACTACACTTTTCAATTCAGCTAATGTAAAAATCAGAAAAACCTAAAATTTATTTTATTTAGGTTTGTAATTTATTATTTGCGCTATATAATATTCCACCCATAATGACGCCTGGTGATTACGATGAATGTAATGTAATGTTGAAGAGTACTTTACCCAGAATGCAGTGTGTGTGTTGTGCGGTTCGACACGTGATAAAATAACATCCAGATAGATAAAAGCGGAAAAATGATGGACGCTTGATTGTCATGACACTTCCGCACACACATGGCCGCACTGCGTTTGACGAGGCGACGCTTGCGACGGCGCGCACAAAGCACGTGGCTCATTAAATCGCTCGTCGATGACAATAGCAGAGCGAAAATAACAAAATAACAACGCTACACGCGGTCGGAGTACACACACGATATTACAAAATAACATGCTTCGTCACATTCGTCAATTTTATGACTAAAAAGACCACAAAACCACATTAGTGTTTAAAATACAAGTAATACACTTTTATGATATAGTAAATTAATATCTGAATTGAATTAATTATTCAACTCTGTAATATTTTTATTAATGATTATGTGAATGCTTTTGAAATAAACATAACTTCGATCAAAATTAATTTTCCACGAAATTGTTAATTGAAATAGCATTTCAATGCCTATATATTGAAAGTTTTGTGTTGCTAATTAACATAACGGGTTTAAATGTAACTTGGTGCATAAATAACGTTTGCAATAATTTTACAATACAAAAAACAATTTTTTTTTTCAAATTTCTAACATTCTATTAACCTCAACTTAACATTTAGATATGCAAATGCAAATTTTAACAAAGACTAAATATCAATAACATTCATAAACATTTTCCTCTAAAGCCATAAACAAATACACTATTAACTAACTATTCGCCTAACAGAATTTGTTTAATGTTGAAATACAACGGTTTTTGACCCTGATATTCCCGATGCCGAAGTATAGTTCAAACAAGAAAATCCCTTATCGCATGCGCCGGCATTAGTTATCAACTACTATATGAAGATAACAGAAAATTCACAGTGCAACGCATAAATCGCTGCAAATGTTTGTTCATTCGCAATTTCACATAGAGTACATGCACTTATCTCAAGAAAACACACCCATAAAATAATGCCCTTTGAAGCAGCGCGCACCCAAGAGATTACCTACATGAATGCATAATGTTTTAAGTGTTTAAACGCTTTACCAACGCAGTCGACCCAAAGCTTCCAGCTTCATTTTCATTCACAAACCAGCAAATAACTAACAAAACGCACAAAACATTCTCAACCAATGCGCGACTTCTCGAGTGTGTTATAATGAAGAACGCCGTAAGCACGTACAGCTCCTAGTATATACATGCAACGTGTGCACTTGCCAAAGAACAGTGGCACATACATACACTAATCGCACATGCGCGACTCACTCAACTCACCGTTTTCTTAACAATGACTAAACAAACAGAGTTAAACTGAAATTTTACGCGCTCACGAGTTTATAAACTACCAACTGCTGCTACTCATGTTTCGTACAGCACCTAATAACTGATTGAGATGGTCAGAAATTAATCGCAAACTTCGCATTGAACGAAAATATTCCATTGTGTGAAGCATTGGCGTGGTCGCGATAAGAACCCCGCGGCTGGCATAACCAAAGTCAATATTGCGATAACGAACGAAATTTTTATAGAGTTTCATGTGTGTTACTGTTACAGCCATGTCGAAAAATAGAAATAGCATTTCCAGTGCTTCCATGGCGCGCGATCGCGCGCACAAAAAAGCACACGTTACCTTGGCACAAATGCTCCTCGCATCGCATAGTCTTCAATTCCAACGCGAGCAAAGCGACCAACTTTCGTTCGCGTTCACAAACTTTAAATGCATGTGTGTGTGAATGTGCTGCGTACGCCTGCTTAGGTAAGTTGATGAATTATTCATCGAGACGTAAATATCAACGCGTCTATCTAGCCGACAAATCCGGGGACTTTTATAACGTTTCCAAAAAATCCACCAAATGCGAAATTTACACTTGAAAAGTCGATAATTTCTCTTGCCTACATTAACAAAACGACATAATAACACCCGCCTAGTGAATGGTATAATTTAGAATTATTTAAAATAATTAACAAACAATTATGTTGATTTTAATGTTAATTAGGGTGTTTAAGATATTCAAGATATCGCTTAATTTGTTTCCGAGTGTGTGTTTATGGATGTAAACCAAGAGTGCAATTGAATATTAACTTCGCTTCAACTTTGACTTCTTCGCATCGTAATTTCAGTAATTACCGATTAAATAACCTTTAATGCTACCAACTTAACTACTTAGGTCGCTCTGTGCGTCTAGACAAACTACTACTTAAGAGTCGCCAGTTTAAACGCTTACCAAAACCTGCCGTTATGCAAACATTTGAAAGAAAAGAAATTTCTTAACAAATAAAACCTAACTAAGCGAAATGTAAACAGGAAGAATGCGTTGAGCAATAATTTAGTTTGCGTGTTTGCTTTTATATGTTTTGCACAAAACCAGAACGCACAGAAGTGCGAGTATTGATTGAAACAAAAGCGGCCCTGGAAATGGACATTGTCCAAAGTTTGCAAAACGCATTACGCCGGAAGGAACCGAGCCATTTTCTCCAATTTAGCACCGGGCAACGTTCTCCAGAAGCGGGCGGCTGTCCTACTAAGCAAATCCAACTAATCCAACCACACACACGTGCTACTCTATTCAAGGTAAAACCGCCAACACTCTCCGAACTATGTTTGTAAGCACGTACTTACTCGTAACTCTCGTACCGTAAGCTTAAAGGGATTTCATTTGAATTAATCAAATATATACGCACGAAATGATCATTTTAATCGAAACACGAAGCACAATTTTACATCACATTACAAAATTTTATGAAAAAAATTCAATGTACGTAATATTTATGTACGATAACACGCACACACCGAGCATAGTGGCACCATTTTGGTAAACAGTAAACTTTAGTACACAAAGTAGCAGTAGATAAGCCCGTTATTTCGAAAAGTTTTAAGCTTCCACGTTGGGAAACGCATTTGGGTGCGCAGCATTAAATGAATGAAGAAACGTTGCGTGCCTGTGCATGAACAATGTAAACGCAAAGCGGAAAAAAACACACCAAAAAATGAACAAAACAGTGACGTAACGAGCACAAAAACAAATCTAATTCAGAGCGCGCATCAACGTTGCACTCGTCGTGTTTGCGCTAAACATAATTTAGAAAAAAATTAAAATAATAATGAGATTTAGAGCAAATTTTACAAATGTTTATGTGTAAAGTACAAGTTCAAAGCGTGTGTTTTTTCCTCATTGTTTCAAGTCCCGCATGTGAGTGTGTTCGAACACACATCGATCGACGAGAGGCAGGCGCGCGGCGACTTACAAGTTACGAGCGTTACGAGTTTTACAACATTACGTAAACCGTCGCCGTTTGTCGTTACGTAAGACACGTCGACGTCGTCGGCGAGTCGCGCTGCGTGTGCACCGCGCGCGCTCATCCTCCATCTCCGCGAGCGCAGGGGCCACGAATCGCGCTGCTGAATGTGTGTTGTTACCAAATACACATACGCAGCACACATACGTGGCGATAAGAAGGCTCGCAGCGAAATAATGTGCAGCGGAGCGCGCGCGCGGCGGCAGCGCTCGCAGCGAAACAAACGTTTGACCTCCACCTTAAAAGTGCCCCACTTACTATTAATAAATGTCTTTTCTTTAACGCTAGACTTATTGATATCGATACTTGTTAAATGTTAATCATTGATAAAACCTATGACAAGGTGTTTTGTGTGTGTAGATGTGTAAGTGTGCCTACGATGGTGGTATTTGTGTGCCGCCTTCGCCGCGCTCGGCTGAAAAGAAAAGCGCTGCGGCGCTTTCACGGAATAAATCGAAACAGCTGATTCAACGCGGCTTTGACGTCATTCAAACGAAAGCGGCCGGCGCGCGCCGCCCCCTTGCCGCAGCGCGGCGCGCGTCCATACTTCCGACCTGCCGGGTTTCCACAAACAGGAACACAGCGGCAACCTATTTGATATTTATCGTGTCGACACCGCACAATGCCGCAACACAATTCGTAACGTCAAATTGTCACGTACGAAACATATTGTTCAAAAAACTAGCGCCGAATGCAATATATATAATCAAATATTAAAACAGGTGTGAAAAATTGAGAGCCGAAACAAATACCTACATACTACACAACTGCAAGTGTTTCGTAAAATGTTTCCAAACAGAAGGCCGCCAATCGATAAAATTTATAGGTATTAGGTAATGATGTGGCACATTCGTGGGAGCGCGAGGAGGCAAAGTTTAAGGTTATCAAACAGCTGTGTGCGCAACATTACATTGCAACTTTTCCGCATGGAGCATGAAAAATCGAATGTGTGCAACGTACAACAAAAAGAAAAAAAAGGTCACGGCTGTGTGGTGTGTGTGTGTGTGATTGCAATGCGGCGGACAAAAATATGCTGACGATGCGTCGCCGCGCGTCTACGGGGGAGAAAATGTACAAGTGGGGGCGGCTGGGCGATATCAAACGATGTGTTGGTATGCGAAGATGAGCGAACGAGAGAGCGATGAGCGGACTTGATTGACTCACCAATCGGCAACGAAAACAACAGACCGTCAAAGAGGAACGTTTCCGCCGGCTCGTTTATCATTTAGATGGCTGATAAGTTTGCGGCGGTGGCGGCGACGCTGCTGCTGTGCTGTGCACCAGATGCGGCTCGCGGCTCATCCACCACGCAGCAAACGCCTTCGTCTCGTTGGCTGCGCGTTTCAAGCGGGCGGCCGTCACACGAACGTTTGCTGGTCTGCCGGCCGCGCTCGCTGCCTGCTCCTGCTCGCCTGCATTGCTGTCGCTGACTGCCCCCGTGCCTTGTGTGCGTGCGTGCGAGCGCTGCCGCGACTTTGCAACACTCGCGCTGCCACACAGCTGATCGGCTCAAGGCTCTCCTCGCAGGACGAACCCAGCACGCCCTTTTCTTTCCCCCGCCGCCGCGGAACGCCAACGATGGTAGTGCTGGGTAGCGCGCACAGTTTCACAACTTTCCGCTGCCGATTTTTGCTTTGCTTTTTTATTTTAGATTGTCACGAGCTTTTCCGGTTTTGTTTTACCCGGATGCTTACAGATTACTAGTAGACAACGAGCAAAAATCTGGCCACTATAGAATTAGGTTGGTGGTTGCTTTACCTGAGCTAAAGTGCGAACGTTTCGTATCCCCGTTTTCCGTGTCTCCGTCCAGCGGCCTCTTCCTGGAGTCCGCGATTTCCGGCGATGGGCACGTATCCATACCCGAATCGGCGGCCATCTTGAAAATTTAGACGTCCATTAGCATAAAGCGTGCGACTTCACTTTTCAATGTGTGCCAGCGCGAGCACGAGCGCGAGCGGCAGCAACGGGCGGCCGCGGATCGGTGTCGCGCTGGGTGTCGTGGATGTGTAGGCCGAGCAGCGGGCGCGCGGTGGGAACGCACGTAACAACCGAGCAGCACATGCATACACGCGCGCGCGCGCGTTTCCAGCGTGAGTGTGAGTGTGCCCGCAACACTCTGCGTGTTCGTCGTCGGAGCGCACGCGATCAACGTGCTTGAAGCTCGCCACTGGCTGACTGAATCGCTGAGCGCGCGCGTTCCGCGAACGATGTTGTCAGCAGGATCCTGGCCGCCGAGGCATTTTCAGCGCACGGTGCGCGCGCCGCCGTGTGCAGAGAAAGCGCGCGGCGAGCGGTCGGGCGCAGGATCATCATCACATCGAGGAGGGAAAAGCGCAGGCACCGCGCCGCCACTCGCGCTCTGTGTCAGTGTGGCTGTGTGGCGCAGGGCTTTGGTCGCAAGGACGACCGAGTGAACTGGATGTGTGTGCTGTTGCTACTGACCCACTGACAGAACGACGTATCTAAGACGCTGCGAGCCGCGCTCTCGCAAGACCAATCCCACACTTCTATCACCACCATTCAATTTCTTCTAACGTCACTTGATCACAATTTACTTTTTCCTTAAATGACACTCTGCATTATGATGAAATCTGCAATATTTCGTATTTTACAAACTGTCAAAAAAATATCCGCAATTATATTCACCTTCTTGTTAATCAAACATTGCCATTGTATTATGGTCAGAACACGAACCCCCACAAATACTCCACAAGAACTAATCACAGAAGTTTTCCACACATCGAACGAGACGATCGACAAGGACCTAAAAAATGTTTAACGGGAAATTTCAATGTGATTTTTACAAGAAATAATTTTGTGGACAAAATGACACATGAATAATTTGAAACGAAAACTCCAACAAATAAAACAAAAGTGTAAACAAAAACGCACGACGACACGCGTCGATCGTCGATAATAAAGCCTTCTATAAAGTTTATATAAGTAATTCGAAAAAACAATATGACTTCAATATTTTATCATCTTTTTGATATTGAGGTCAATTATTGAAAATCATATCAAAATTCATGTTCGCAAAGTTTCATATAAAATATATGAATAACTCTCGTATTTTATTTCGTCGGATAATTTTATTTGCTCGTGTATTATGGAGATCAGGATTTATGCGGTAGCATGGTAGCCAATTACGAGCAAGACGTGATGTGCTGTAAATCTATATCGAATTCGAATCCAATTTTTGCCCGGCCACACTTCAAATCTCGAGCGGATTTGCGATGAGTTCCCGAAAGTGATTAGATTTCGCTCATTCGCTCAGTTTCGGATGACAGCTCATGTCCGCGCACATAAAATATCTAGTATGCAACATTTCAGTACATTTTAACACAGTTATCGGGAATAAACATGCAACGAGTCCATAATAAATATTAACATAATAAAACTTGCTTACTAAACCCACAAACGTAACAGTTTACGTTATTATCAAACAAATAAAAGTGTTTACTTAAGTTGGAGATAATTCTATATCAAAAACAAATTAGTAATATCATTATGTGAATTATTATAAGAATTTTAAACAAGAATAATGAGTTGAAATTCAGTTATCAATGTTTTTCGTTGAATTTGTCACCGGTTTCAGACAAAAGTTGTTTTGAACTTCGGGAAACTTTACGTGCAAAGTCAGAATTTGCTGCTTTGTGATTTATATAGAAAAGTTATTGAAAACAATATCGCATTCATTCCTTATGTACTGAACATTTCACTTAACTGGGTTAAGCATCCAAGTTTTACTTGCCAATTGCTGAAGTTTAAGACGAAACATCTTAGTACTGCGAGTTGGGCAATGGAGCGTTCATAAAATTTTATACTTTTGCTAATAATAGATATTTAGGTATCTAGTTAATGTAGTGGTAGCTTTTATTACACAGGTGAGGAATACCTGAGTAATAAAAGCATTGGATTTATTATTGATGTGTTAAAGACAAATTTATTTGAATTTTTAAAATAGGTTAAGCTAAGTTAAAAGTTAGGTTAGGTGGTAGGTAATTTATTATTATTATAAATTTGTAAATTTGGACGTTTATACACAGATTTGTTTCATTATTTAAACTTCCTCTATTCATGTTACAATCGCAACTTTATTGCCAGGAAGATTGCATTGATTAATGTGTAGTTAAACTATAGTTTAATGATTTAAGTCGAATTATAGCTTTTACGTATAAATCTTAATGTCTTTTTCTATCAAAAGTATTAACAAACAATTATTTACTCATTATTGATTTTACGATGCTCTTTGGAATAATATTATACATACGAGTAAGTAAATATACAAGAATTTACTTTTACTTAACATTAATTATCTTTATCTTTCTTTTACAAATAGTTATGTTAATCCTAATTAGAAATGCTATAATACTGATTATTCTAAACCTACAACTTCGCAAACATAACAAAAATACGCAAGAATAGATCAGTTTCACTCACGCAAAAAAAGTTTGTACATAAATAACGTGTTTCGTTATTTAATTACCAACGAACTGGCCACAGCACCTTTGCAACCTTCCCGTGATTCTCATTTTACACCGTAGTTATACTTTACTATAACTCAAATTAAAAACTGCAGCACAAAGTGCAATAAAACTTAACCAAATAACAGAAAAAAAGACAAGGTTCCGCAATTAAGCGCACCTGGCCAACGTTAAGCCACGGGAATTTCAATTAATCTCAACTTGCTTATGTTTCACTCGCGTTGTTTTATAAGCGCGATTAGTACTCGTTCTAATTATAATGATATTGGTTTTGCGCAGCTTGCAATTCAGCCAGTTCTCAGGTCTGCTTGAGAGTGTGTCAAATCGTTTAGCTATCAACTACGACATAATGTAGGTACACTGGCCCGTCTGCAAGTGCGCGCAGGTTATAAATAACTATGCATTCATTATTAAACGCTTCTAATAAAGACGTCCTTAAAACAATAAACAGCTATGGATCAAAATGTGTATTATATACTCTTTACCCATTTTTAAAACGTCCATGATCTCAAACAAATACAAAATAATAAAACAAAGGAAAAACCCATAAATCTAATTTTTTTCCTTGTGTATTTCAAGTTTAATCGCAATTCTCTGATAGGAAATTAATCAAGACCTCAATACCGTCCACTTACTATAAGGTACTTGAGTGTAATAATGTGCGCAATAGTTTAAATTGCATTATGTATCCGAACGATCAGTTATTTTTAGCCAGCGTATGTTTACAACTCTTTGCACACGTTCGGTATTAGGAGTTTGTTTCGCCAAAAACGATCGAACAAAAACGACCTTCATAATTGCAACAATTAATTGTTTTTTGTTCTTGCTGCGTGCGCATTCTATTTTCGATGCGGTCACAGGTTGTTCACAACTGACTCACGAGTACTTCTACATTTAATTATGCGTTCGTTGTAGTGTTTACTTTTAATATTATATTCATTATATCATTGGCTATTACGCGCGTCGAATGCAATTTCGTTTGCGGGCGAAGATTGCTTATGTCATTTTCGTTTATAAATAAATAAAATGTTAGCCATGTTAGCGGTTCGCACGATTCATGCGGCGGACTTTACACAGCAGCCACAGGCTTCGTGGTCATTAAAAATTATGTCGTTTTTTTTACAAGCGATACACAAGTTACACAAGTTTTTATGGTTTGATGTATTCAAAATGCAAATGCACGGAACAAAAAATGAGATAACTTTAGTGTGGGTGTTACACTTTACCTTAGAATATTTTGGAAACGAGTAGGAATAGTTTATTTCGGGTGATGTCAAAAAATGATTAATCTATGCTCAGAAATCTGAAATAAATGTGTCGCAAAAAGATCTCCACAATATTCGGAAATTAATGAGAAATTGTGCCTACGTTTGCCATCAAGCGGTCAATTTACGCACTTTGACATTATGTCTTTCAAATAAGTAAAAGAAAGTTTTGAAAATGATGTATGCTACATTGTTTCAATTGATTTGTATATTTTTAACTATATAATTAACTTATCTATCAGTAAATGAACCGTAAAGTTGTAATAACTGTCAGTTATTTATTATTTCAAATATTACAGTTTCTCGCTGTATGTTGATGTTTAATAAATACTAGAACTACATAGATGGCGCCACCTGCCGACAATTCTCCTCCCGCACAAATGCCGTTTTGCGTCTCACTTGCCGCACGCAAGAACTTCACGTACAGAATGAATAAAGTAAACAGAAAGCGCCGAGATCGCTAAGCAAACGGTAGTGCGAAAGCCGTGTCGTCGTGTGTTGTCCAAGTTCCTGCATCCGCTGCATCGGTGATTTTCCAAGAATGGCGCTGCATTGGCAGCCCCTTATTTTGCTGCTGTTGCACCTGCACAGTGGCGTGCTCGTTAGCAGCTCACCAATCGAAAAGAATGCGCAAGAGGCGCAAGACCTGTATGCCAAATACCGCCCGCAAATCTGGAGTGTGATTGACGATTTGAACGCCGACCCGGAACGCCAGTACAACTACAATTTCAGCGACTTGCTTAATACGCAAAAAAAGGTAGCAATTCTAAATTTGTACGGCAGTGCATTACTTTGTATGCGTGTTTGCATCTTGCGGCCGATTCATCTTTAAGTCATGAAAACTTAAATATAAACACATACGTTCCACGAGTTTAGAGTAACGGACTAAACTCACGGAGTTTTTGTTAACTTTAAGGTGTTTTATTGTTATTTTAAACCGCAACTTGTTACTATAACAATTCTATGTTAATTTACGCATTTGAATAAT